AGGTAGAGCGGCAGACTGTAGACGTTGCAGTTATCTGTTGGTCCCTGGTTCGATTCCGGGTTGCCGGATGTTTTCGCTTTATCTGCTGCTCCGCACCAGCAAGATCTCGCAATGTGGAGATGCGCAGAGGCATGCACGGCATATTCGGTCGGGGAAAGGAAAACTGTTAATGCCTTCCATCTCAAACAGGGAGTGACACACATACCGGCGATCACATTATGAAAAGATGAAACACAGTAAATCGCGGGATGACGCTTGTCACATGCGCTCACTTTTCTGAGGTTTCCTCTAGACTGACACGCAAAGAGAGCTTCTTCTCCACGAACCCACGAGCACCTCAAAGTCTCGGCTGTCTCTTTTTTCCCTTGAATTTATTTCTTCCACTGTGGCGCATACGCGTGTACTGTACTGTCTTTGGTTTTGTTTGCAGTCCCCTCCGTAACAGTCGCTTTCCGTCACTTTGCCTCTGTGGCAACTTCCGTCGCTGTGGCCGTGTCTGTGCCTGCATCAAAGCATCTTTCCCTTTTCGCCAACGCTTGCGTCAGTCTGTAATCCACGGCAGTCTTCGTGGACCTTTGTTCCTTCTCAGTAGTGTCTGTATCCCTAAAGCTCCGATCCTGTACACACTTCCTTCTGTCTCTGTCAGTGTCTGTGCCTAACGTCGCGGTGTCCTAAATTACTAGTAGTCATATACGGCCACGCCCAGTGGTTGACTGTTGGGGTTATGTTGCTCTGTCGAAAGGACTGCTGCTTAGATCCAGTCAATTGTGTATCGCATCAAGCGCATTCCCTTGATACCTCTATGAAGGCAGTGGAGCAAGATGTGAGAAGCGGGTGTGCGGGCCTACCGGCAATAGCTCAGTTGGTAGAGCGGCAGACTGTAGAGGTTGCAGTTATCTGTTGGTCCCTGGTTCGATTCCGGGTTGCCGGACAATGCGCCTCTGACCGCGGTTTCCCGCCTTTTGAACTGAGCAATGTCATGGACGGGGTATGCTGCTGGAGCAAGGTAAACTGTCATTGCCTCTGATATACAGGAAAGGGGTGTCAGACAGCCTGACGAAAGACAGGCCGGCAACCATGTTCTCTGCTATTATGAAACGCGACGAAGCAAACTGTCATTTTCTTACGTCTCCAACAAAAGAGTGATGGAAAAAAAAATCAATCACATTCTCTGAAATCATAAAATACAGCAAATAGTGGGTTGCTGCCACTTAGTTTTTCATCACGGAACAGATGTACCGTCTAGTGTTAAATCTTTTCGTGATAATGCGGAGCGAATTTGATGCATTTACCTATAGCAGGTACGCGTTCACTGCTACGCCAGACCTTGTCTCCTGTAAACTCGACGCCGCGCCTTTTGCAGTCCATGCATGCTTTTCGCTGCAATTTCGCTCATTAAACATCGCTCCGTCCTTGGTCACACAGTTTGCAAAACGCTCTTCTCAACTATGGCACTGACCTGATCCCATCAGCGAGAGAGAACAAGCACCGATCGGAGCAGTCCTGCAGGCTTCTAAGCGGGTAATTTAGAAGCACGCCAGTGAGAGGAGGCATTATGTAGTGGGCACTACAATCGGGTTTGCCTGTGACGTATAGAGGATAGCTAACTGATGACCTATGAAAGGTTAAGACGTTGGCACGCGGATTGAGCGCTGTAACTTCTTACTAGTGAAATAGAAATGCAATTTACTAACAAATTAACATGTATAAACTAGAAGTGCCTGCGAATGCCCTAAGATTGGGGCTGCCGAAAACACCGGCACCGGTGCGCGTTACATCCTCACCGGACCAGCAAAGCAAGAACGATAAGAAATAACTTTTATGAAATATAATTTTGAGAACTTGAAACAAAATTGCCTTTCTAATAATTCAGTTGACGTTACGAGACCGATGCGCCTGTAGAAGAGAAGATTTCATAGAGCGCCAGAGTTGAGGGTTGTGCAGCATCGTAGACGCTGTAGAGAACGCAGTGTACTACAGAGCTTCTGGCGGACCGTCTTATCCGCTACCACGGCTTTGCGGAGGTGTTCCTATCAAACTGAGATCGCGGCTTCCTATCGGACCTCTGGGAACAACTATGTCGCCGTTTCAACGTAAGGGGCGCCATGTCCTCGTTCTACCATCCCCAGAGCGACGGTTAAACTGAGAGGGTTAATCGCACACTGGAGCAGATGCTTCGTACCTACATCCAATCTGACGAAAAAAGCGAGTGGGTGAGCTTGCGTCCGGCCCTGGAACTTGCTTAGAATATGACAAGCCATTCATCCACCGAGCTTTCTTCCTACAATGTCATCATTGGCGAGAATCCGCTAACTGTTGCGAATTTTGATATCGTAGGCGCGTTAGCCCCTACGCTCACTCCTCCGATAACTAAGCTTTTCCGGCAGCTCTGCGACGCAGCACAGAATTACATCTTGAAGGCAAAATGGCAGCAGAAGTACTACGCGGACACAAAGCGTTGAGCCGTGGAGTATGCAATGGGCGACAATGCCTGTGTCAGTAAGAAGCATCTACCGGCTTTGAACAGGTGCCTTAAGCTCGATCCCCATTTCTGAGGACCCTTTGAAGTCATCGAACGTATAGGGGCCGTCGCTTACTGTCTTGCTCTGCCTCCCACATATTAATGCCACAACGCTTTCCATGTTTCGCAGTTAGCTCCCCATCACCCCCGCCCTCCCGGATTGGTGTTCCCCAGGAAGCTGACGCCACCTGGTCGCCTATCCGCGATGCGGCAGGCAGCCTAATAGAGGAGCATGAGTTAGATTATATCATGGACCAGCGCGGCTTGGGAGCCGACGCCCAGTGCCTCGTCAAGTGGCGCGGAACCCCTGAAGATCAAGCCACATGGGAGCCCGCTCACCACCTCACAGGATGCCCGGCTTTGCTTCATGCTTGGCACCGCCGCCAGCTAAGACATCTCCAGGATCGACACCATGCTGCTCCTCCCGAGACGTAGCGGCTTGGGTCCCTGAGCTCCCGCCGCCCGCAGGGGGGAGGGAGCGCTGCGCCTCATGTCATTAGCTTTAGAAGAGAATAGAGATTGAAAAGGCAGAAATAATGTGTTCTGGGTAGGCTGGTTCAGTGCAGCAAGGGGGGAAGTTGTGGTGCGCAGGCACTATAAGCGGGCTTGCTGGTAACCTTGAGAAGGCAGCTATGTAGTGCACAGCACCTTCTGCCGCAACTACGTTGCTAGCTGGCCCACGAATAGGGCACCCTTTGAAAATCCCCCTACTTTCAACGCATCTCTCATGAAACAACTACCAAAGCGTCAACGAAATCAGTCATCTCCTTGAGTTCTCAATCCGATTTACCTAAAAGTCCCCCCACTCAGCCTTCTTTTTTACTTGGCCCTGTCGTGCGGTGGCCCGCACCACAGGGCGCTATCGCCAGCGCCAATCTTAGGGCTGCGCACTATTGTTGCTATGCTGACCGTGCGCCAGTAATCTGATCATGCTTGCCTTTTAGCTCACTTTCTTCTCCCTTCAAAGCATTGTATCTCACTCCCCACCCTAATAAATAGCACATGGATCGTTTTGCCATCAGATGCCCTGTTACCCCTTCCATGCCCACCTAAATGCTGGGCTGTCAGCGTTTCGCTGTAGCTTATACATTGCACTCTCCTTGGCCTTCATATTGCTGTTTGTGGGGCACTTGCCCTCGCCGCCACTGGGCTGGCATCTGCCCTCTGCAAGCAGTGTGCGCATCGTTGCACGATGCTGCTGTTTCATAGCGACAGCACACTAAGCAGCCTTTCTAGCGGTTTGTATTGCAGCTCCTGGAGGTTAAATATGTTGCTAAGGTACGTGATGCGTCGCTGGAGGTGCTACAGGCGCCTTCAGCTCGATGCAACAACTCGCTCGGCATTTGTTTCGGAGAGCTAGCATGCAGACTGCCTTGATATTGACCTCTGCCTCCCTCTGAACAATTTCCGGAGGGTCCACCAAATCCGATACGGACAAAGTGACCCTTTGCATATTGCAGCTTTCAGCAGTCACACTGTTTTGTACGCCGTGTCGACACGCTTAAAGACGAACGCGACCAAGGCAACATAAGCATTGCCTTACCTGTAAAAGCAGCAGCCCTAGTTCGTCAGGTAAACAGCCTGGACGGATTATTTGCAACGCCCGTGGCAGCACATTTTGACAAGATTCGGATTTTGTGGGTTTGCTGTGGTTGTCTGCGAGCTGGAAGACCTTGACGGGAAGGTTCAATGCGAAATGCATGCCGTTCCTGGAAGATGTGAGGATGCTCACTTGGAGTGCCGTTGCCAATATTTGTGCCGACAGAAACTTCGCTTCTGTGAGTTGCGTGTGGCTCAGCAAGTAAGTGTGATACGCAGTCAAAACATGCACGGCGAGAAGCCGGAGAACATTCACAACACCACCCTAAACTACACGCCAACTACGTAGTGGAAGAGACGTTAAGTCGAAAGTAAGTAGGTCACAGCGATTACGACCAAAACCTACAGCCGCAATGGGTTTGCTAAGGTCCTTGAAAAAGCAGGCATTAAAAGAAGCAGAAGGTTCACTATGACCTGATGAAGAATGGCAGACGAGCGGGGAACGGCAAAGGCGAGGCCAAAATTTTCCTTGCCACAGTAGCAGCCCAGTAGGTCGTGGAAAAGAACACACAGCATCAGCAAAATCGACAGCGCTAGGAACAGCCAAACTTGTTGGTAGAAGTTACGCTTGAACAAGCGCAACAGGCATTCCCGCCGCAACGAAGGCTGCTGTCTTCGCTCTTGCAGAAAATGCTGAAGGTGCTGGGATTTGCGCACTTGCAAATGAACATTTTCAACCACAATATGATGGCATCATCAATACTGGAACGCCTCATGATAGCAGTCATTGCCCGTGCAGCAGCAACCACCGTCGTCGAGGCACCCCAATTTAACCACTGCGGGCAAAGCTGAAGTGCCCGCATCTAAAGCTGCTGCTATTGCCAACGCTAGCTTAAATAACAGCGGCAGCACCTGCCTCTGCATCAGACATCCTAAGAGATAGCTTCTGTATGAGGCGAAGCCGTGCACTGCACGGGCCATTTGCAAATGGGGCACACGTCACTTTGCTGCAACCACGTATCTACGCAGCTCACATGGAAAAAATGAAGACAGGGAAGGAAACGCACTATTTGAGCCTCCACAAAAGAATCCAAACAGATGGCACATTTTTCTTTGTCATCTTCCTCCCCAACCTGACCGCTGCTACTGCTGCCACTGCTGCGCTCGCCGCTATTGCAACACGTCGCAGAGGCAGCAGTGGTGAGGGGCGCTGATGTCCTGTGTTTGAAAGGAAGAGTCGGTAGCTGCTGCAGCACGTGAAGCGGGGTTCCTCGCTGCTGCTGCGGTTGTTGCCATAAGTCCATCTCCGCCCACAACTGCTGCTGTTGCAGCGACACTAACACTTGATCAAACGCACCATCAGCCGCTTCTCCTGATGTGGCTGTTGCTACTACAGAACCTGTTGCACTCCGCTGCAACTGCCGCTGCCATGGCAGCATTGTCCTCCTAATCCGGCGGCGGGAAACAACACGGTGAGCAGCAGTGGCAGCAGCAGAGCCTGCAGCTAGGTTCTGCTGTGATCTCACTGTCCCAGCTAACGGATGCTGCTGATGCCGGAGCTGCTGCTGAACTTGCTGTTGGTGCTGCAGCAGTTGCAGTTGGTGTGGGAGACCCTGTGGAATCACGAGGTATGGCAGCAAGTCCGTTGGCTCGAGACCAGTAGACCTGAGTCCCGAAACGGCCTCGTCCATTGCAGGAGCCGCAGCAGCACGGTTTGTTGCAGCTGCAGCTAGGTGTCCTTCAGCGGTAACTGCTGCTGGAGGAAAGGTACGGTGGCTCATCCGTGTGGCAGACCTTTCGTCCCGGCCAATTTCGCCCCACAAAAATGCTGCGGTATCTCGATCGCAGATTGTCTCGTGCTGCAGGCGCTGCTGCTGCTGATCCGCAGCGAACACAGATGCCCGCGCCGAGGTAGGGGCTCTAAAGCCACATAGCTCAGGCTCGTCATCACTTGAATCGACGCTGACACCTTCCACGGTTGTTGCAGCAGCAGATGCTGGGGCGGAGCTGGCAGAAGCTGCCGTCGGTGACAACCTAAAGCCTCCCGCAGCCTCTACCGTTGTTGCCTCTGCCGTTTCCGCTGCCCCTCTGGGGCTGCAGGGCAAAAGGCGAATTGGAAGTAGCGGACTCTGCTGGTGCCGCTGATGCGATGGCGCTCCACGAAGAGAGTAGTCGAATGGTAAAGGTGTGCTTCTGCCGCTATCGTTGGCTCTCCTCGGGCAGCCGTTATGATGCACTCCAAGTAGTCGCTCTGCTTCCGAGTCCGTTGCTGCTACTGGTGCGGCATCTCTTCTGCCAATAAAAAGACAGTCATCGTCCTCTTCACTGTCAAGGTCAATTAGTTCCCTGACGGCACTGCTGTTACTGCTGCACCTGTCGTTGCTGTTTGCCCCGTCACCGTACCCACTAGCCATACTTGCTGCGCAGACGCGTCTGTCTTGCGATCTGGGGCTAGTACTACTGCATCTCGTGCTGCTCTTTCTGCTACTCGCGCCATCACTTGTCTTCGCCGTCTCCTCACCCTCAGTTGCGGACAACTCAGATGCTTTGGCAGGGCAAAGGTGCTTGGAGTGTTGTCCTCGGCTATTACTTCTGCTTCTGCTACTATTGCCACTGCCGCTGTCCCTGTCGCAGCTCCTTGGACTTCTCAGCATCGAGCGGCAGTCAGTCACGCCACTGCTGCTGTCGCATCTGCTGTCCGCGGTTTTGCTGTTCTTGCTGCTACTGCCGACGCTGCCGCTGTTGCTGCCAAAGGGACGCGCCGCTGGCCTAGCCAACTCACACACAAACTGGACGTTCCTGCGGCCCCTGTGCTCGTTGTAAATGTGATTGAAAGAATCGGCCTGCCGTGTGCTATTTCTGCTGTAGCTTCATTTCCTGCAGCCTCTGTGCGCGATAACGAGTGTTCGGCGTCAAGTTGTTTTTCGCTACATTTGAAAAATAGTTAATGGTGTTGCTGTCGAGTTTGCTGTGGTCCTCTCACGTTGTGCTGCTGTTCGGGCTACGACTGCTGCGTCTGCTGGGAGACGCACCAGCAGCAATCGCACACAATTTATAGAAGGGCAGCGGTCAACCCTTGCTGCTTATGATGCTTCCTCTTGGAGCGCGGCAAAACGCGAGGATCTAAGCGCCTGCTGCTCCTGCTGCTGTCCCCGCTGTTGCTCCCGCGGCCGCCTTCTCTGCCACTCAACAGACAGATTCGTTGAACGTTGTTGCCCGTACTGCAATTCAGGCTGCCCTTACGCAGTTATAGCAGCCACTCTACCCCTCCGTCCATGCGCTGCAGCTGCCTTCATTCAAGGCAGACGCTGCGTTTGCTTCCTTTGCTCACGCGTATGTACGCCTATCGCTGTTCCTGCGGCCCTCATAGCTTTAGCTCCACTCACCCTTCTCGTTGATGATAGATCGAACATTCAACTCCTAAAAATGTGTTTGTGCTGCGGACAGCCTTCTGATATGCAGAATCCTGTCCCTGCTCGACCTGCTCTTCCTGGCTCTTCGGCTCCTTAGCCTGACAGTGGTAGGGCATCTGCAGCCTTGCGTAATGCTGCCGAGAGAAGATGGGACAGTGAAATGCCCTGGAAAATTAGATGAGCTGAATAAAACCGCACGAGGACTACCATTCTTGGACGGCGGAGCCGGAAGAGCTTTAAGCGAAAGGAGCCCTAGTTGGCTGCCAACCATAGGTAGTATCAGTGACCGGCTTTCACATGCGTAAGCTACAGTCCACCAAACATATGAGTCATTTGCAGAGACACTTATTTATAGTGTACTGTGAGCTGTAATGTAAGGGCTGAGGCTTCAGACGGTAGCGTTTCACTTGTAACTGTAGAGGAGTAGGTTGGTGAAGGGTCCCAGATTGCATGCTAGCGGCAACGTGACAAATCTGCTGGAATCATATTCCGCACCATTGCTGTGTTCTTCAAGCATTAAATAAATAATCAACACAACCACATGGATGGAAGAGGGCTTATTCTCAGCCCATGCAAAACAGCGATACTGGCGTCTACTCCCTGCCGCCCGCCACCTGCGTGCTATGCAGCAGACTCTCAGCAGACTCTGGGTACGTTTCATGCGAATTTCGAACAGCTTGAGCTCAATTACTGATGTGCCCAGAGATATTAATTTAAAGTTGGGCGACACAGCAAAATCGTATTGACCGCTTCTTCATCTTCCACTGACCCCTGTTGAGCGGAATTGTGAAGTCGTATCTCACTTCCGTATGTTCCACTCACTGCTACGTTGCGGAGACACAGTAGGTTCTGCATGGGAACAAGCTCAGCATGAAATACCAACATTTAAAGCGGAACTGTGATTACACATTTGTGAAGTATAATGTGCATTTTAAGCCGAAGTACTGGCATTCAGGATGTAGATTGTGGAAAGGCGCTACGTGACACGCGGAGTCTGAAGTGGCAGACATCACCCTCCTCTGTGCAATATAGAAAATTACTCGCACCCTTTGAGTATATTTTCATTATTTGTTATTTTCATTCCTCAGGTAGGCTTCAGACGGGGCTGTTGCCAGTAGCTAGGCCCGCAGCCTGTGGTAGTGCTGGCTAGCACCGTGCGACAAAATCTCCAGATTGTGGCTCAAGCAGCAATTGCTTATGAAAAGAGCTAATTATGACTCCCCAAATGAATCTTTATAACGGCGAAGTTGGCTCCTTCTGTCCCCACCGAGGCTTCAACGAGCGTCAGTAGACCACTGGCGGCTCATGGGCACAGACGCCCACTAAAAGTCTCCGCTGCAAGTTGTAAAGCACGGCACCAATTCTCAAGTAACTTTGGACCTTCGCTTTTGTATTTTGTTGCTCTGGGAGCGCATGTTTGCAACAGGCCGGGTGTTTAGCGTCCATAATCGGTTACCGTAAAGCGAATATGCCAGAACCTGACTGTAAGAAGCACTAAACGCTAGCATATAGTAGATGCAAAAACTGAAAAAAGAGAAAATAGGAATATTCTGCTCCCAAACATGTCAAAACCGAAATGAAGGAAGCCAGCAGGGAGAATTAAAACGTAAAAGGTAGAATCTTGCGACAATGAAAGCTACAACTTCGGCAACAAGGTATGAAATGCAAATGACTTTTAGTATGTTTCCCCGTAGTCGTCACCCATTTGGCTGCCAGAGATGGTGCCTTGCACATGAACTTCCCACGGGCATTGCCAGGTTAAAAGGTGGCCTTTTGACCCCCTACGCGGTCATTTTGCAGTGATGTAGCCTACGTCCCTTGCCCTAAATTTGCCTATAATGCAAAAGAGAAGCAATATAGACCTACTTTGGCTTCAGTCGCGAGTAGGTGAGCACCGTCACCACAGCCATTGCTAGGCCATGCAAGCTAGCTTGCTGCCTACGCTAACATGCAAGCTTATGCCCCCAGCGGAGGCCTAAGGCCTCATGCTTAATAGAAAAAAATATGGCTTTTTGAGGCGGAGCTGCTCTTCCATGTCCCCAAAAAGTCTCACTCATATTCAGCAATCTACGGCAATGACAAACTAGAGAATATGGCGGCAGTAAGCGGGCAAGCTGGGAGCATCACTTTTGAGGTTCTAGAACTTTAAAGCTACGCGTGCAATTCATCCAATCTTTTGAAGGGAACGTTGGAAGAGTCAGCGTCAGACCACACCGCATTCTACAGAACCAATGCCAAAGTCTTATCACCAATGCTTCAGACCGAAGCGCGGCCTCCCCTAAATGCACATCACCATTACATGTAATATCAGGACACCAATACAATTCATGATCTGAGAAAAAGACAGTGCTTAAAGCTGAAAAACTTCCCATGAGAAATTCAGGATCATTCGTGAGGAGCCGAACCCGCTGTTTGAGGATGCCCTAAAATGATTAAATGGTAATAAATGCTAAGCAAATTTGCGAAACACAAAAAACTGCCCAAGAGTGATGCATGATCTGTCCTACCAAATCGGCACATGCACACAGCAAACATGTACTGGCACCAGAGCTACTTTGTAATGATTGAGCTGCTTGTAATAATTAAAAACTTTCCCTGCTCCGGAATATCTTTTTTCGTACTCTTCCTCTTCGTCTCTTAATCGTCGTTTTTTTTGTATCGCTTACGGTGGGGATGCTGCATGTACATTGAAGTTGGCGTCCTGCTGCAAAGTCTCTGTGAAGTAGCAGCCTCCCCTTAAAAACAAGACGAACGCCTCTCTTTCAGTGTCTCACAAGCAAACGAGACATGTGTGTGTACTCTGATGTTGACGGGGGCATACAAGTCCGTGCAAAAGCACTGCATCACACAGGAATATCCTGTGAGCTGCTGCGACGAGCAGGGCGGTGTGGTTACGGTGGATCTGCGCCACAGCCGACAGCCAACGCTGAGAGTAACATAGTGTGTAATTACTCCCAGATAGATACAGATAGTCACATAAAACACAAAAAAATGCAGTTTAGCGTTTTACGCTGTTCATTTGCCCTGAATTTCCGCGTGAGTCAGCAAAAGTAATCCAATGGGCTCCTTGGAGGCGAAGATTACTGTTGTGAGCTAGCCCTCTTTCTTGCATCCCAAATGCAGTGTTAATACAATGAAGTCTTGTTATGCTGCTGACCCTGCCGACGTACGATGTAAAAGAACACACATTGCATCAGCACCCCACAGGCTCCACTGTGGACATTTCAGATACACTCCTAACGTCATTAACAACATGAAATTGGCACCTTTCTTCCAAATGTTGTTGGATTCAATGTAAAAATGTCGTGGCACAGAGCCGCAGGCATTTAAAACCGTATTTCTATTCCTGTTTGCAGTGCCGCTCACCCTGTCTGGAGACCCCCGGAACATGGTGACGTGGAGTGTTCAAGCTGTTCCATGATGCGTCTTGGAACGCAGAAACTGGCAATATTTACAAATCAAAGAATACTCACGGAAAGAACAAGTACAAACATTTTTTTATCGCCTTGATTTCTTTACTTCTTGAGATGTGCTATTCTTCACTGCTTGTGTCTAGTTTCCCACTTGCGGCGTTCGCACTGAACGATTTCCTAAAGGCAGAAGGCGCATTTTCCCCTGAAACCAAAAACATCGCTCTGCAGAATGAAGACGCTGTAAACTCTAAAAGGGTCTCTACAACGGTTTACAAGCGCTGGCGCGACGCGTCTGCCCTCACCAAACTATCGGCAGTCATCGTCGTATTGGCCATAATCTTTGTCACTTTGCAGTGTTACAAGTCACTGAAAGCTCAACATAATTACATTAAATACGATTTGACTGCACGAAGTTTAGCGGCGGAAGACGAAGGCAATTGCGCGGTAAGTCTGAGCTCGCCGATGAAGGGAATGTCCATAGAAAAACCGCGACACACTCCAACATTGCCCGCTGATTACCTAAGGGAACCGCCGTGTTCCGGGAATCAAGTAAAATGGGAGCTGAATGACTAATATTCGTGTGTGTGATTTTTTCTTCAATGGCTAGCTTTCTTTTGACGGATGAGGGTGCTCAACAGCCTTTTGAAGCTTTGGCAGGTGCGCCCAGGCAATGCACAGGAACTCTCATGCTGACCGGAGAAAAAACAGGAAAGGTGGTTTGAATCTTAGTGATGGCCTCAGCCTCTGAACTTGTGTTGCGTGTGGGTGATTGAGTACTTCTGAGGCAGCCCCGTCCATTGAATTGCGTTACACTCATGAAATTAAACT